GAAAACAAAGCAAACAATGAAGTAAAATGTAGACTTCATATATGTGAACTTCTTCTCCAAAGTTCGAGCTTCACAGTGAACACCTTCAAGTCGCAACTCCAGTTCAACAATTTTGTTTTCTTCAATTTCCAACTTCTTCACCAACACATTCTTCTCATCTTCCAATGCACGTATCTCTGCACATTTTAACTGAAGCCTATCGGAGAGCAGTTGCTCCATCTCATTTTTGAACTTTAATTGCTCGTGGAGCCTTCCCTTTTCAGCCTTCAACCTCTGAAGACAATTTTTTCCGTACGGCGGCATTTCAGGATCAAGCCATTCAAATTTGTCACAAGGCGGGTCATCCGTCTGTCATAAATGAGCATAAGACGGAGGCAAAAACCGAATGTGAAATTCTAACTAACCAAATATATCATTTACTATATTCAACGAAAATCAATATCATGTTCTTAACATTCGACAACGTGTTAAAAAAATATACCCTCCAACGAGGACATCTGATGAACCTTCGACCCGGGTTGTCGTCCGTATTTGATGTCAACACGACACATTCCTCGTGATGATGGCACAACCTGACCTCCATCGGCCTACTGTCGGAGGATCTGTAATACCGGTTGCTTGAACTCGCGTATGAACGCTGTGACATGGTTATTTCCTTGGTAAACCCTAATGTATTAGGATAGCAGGCTCTCAATTCAACAACCTGATTTAAAATAAAAAAGTTCGGTTGTTAAAAGTTGTCCAATTCAACAGCCTCTTATCCTATACATCCAAGCAAACGACGCCTTAATTTACATGGATTTATTACAGCCCATATGATCACCTTATAGAAACAAACCAATGTATTTGGCTCTCAGTGGAGGAACACAACCAATCTACAGTAAAGCCTATTAAACTCAAAGTACTTGCTAAATATGTGAACAGGTTTCTAAATATGTGATCAGTTTTCAACAGTTTTCAGTGGAGCAGGAAACAAAGTACTTGTCATATTTCTAAATATGTGAACATTTTTCAACATTACAGAATGGTATAGTAATGTATAAAAATGGACTGCATTCTTCGTTTGCTTCCTTCAACCTCTACCAACAGCAAATGGAAAAAAATCTACGAGGGGCACAGTTCCGAATGGAGACCATAACACAGTTCAATTGACAAATCCAATTTCAATTAAAGCCCGGGTCTGTAACACAGTTCCGAGGGGCACAGTTCCGAATGTGTGGTAATACAACACAAGATACATCGAAAAAGAAACCAAAAAATTACCCATGACTTGTGTTACCTGCGAGGCCGTCGGGTCTTTACCACTTTGGCAGTATTTCTCGGAAGCTCGTCGTCCACGGTGGGGGTCAGGTTGTCGCGGCTTATCGGCAAGGCGTTGGTCGTCGCTTCTTCTTGTTACGCGGCGAAATTTGGGCTAGGGAAAAATGACGCGCGGCTTATCGGCAAGGCTATGTTCGTCGCTTCTGCCTCTCAAGCGGCCAAGTTTGGGCTAGGGCAACTATTCAGATCGGACGATTAAGTTTTTGGGTCTTGTCTGAAATCGAGCGTTTGCCCCTAATATCTGCAGAAACGACCGCGACATTCTTCTGAAACTGGTGGCTGCGGGTCCAAAAATGGCAAAAATCGAAGGTGAGAGGATACTAGCTATCGAAAGATTTTTCAATTTCACAAAGATTTTTCAATTTCACGAACCGTAGGCAAAAATCGAAAGCGACGCCTGAATTGTGGGACTAGCTATCGAACGCGACTAGGTCATTCGTAAATAGAAAAATGGGCGTACCTCTCACTGCACTGCCGAATTGAAGGTTGTCGTCGACGGTCGTAGATTTTGGGGGGACGTTGTCGGCGGTCGAATTGAAGGAGTGGCGGCTCTTCTCGTCGGTCGCGCAGAGATAGGGCAAAATGAATTCGAGTTTGAAATGGCAAAAAACGATTTATTCAGAGAAGGGCAATCTAGTCTTTGGATTCTATACCATCTCAGTTAATACATCGAAGTAAACACGGGACTAACTTAAGCAAATTCCATCCCGAAATGTAAACGAGGGACTAAAAGTTGACATGGCAAATGGGCTTGATTAAGTTGTCTTATCCCATCCTGCAAAGTAAACGACCCCTAGAGGATGTGATTGGACAATTCAATCACGATCATAGTGAATTTATTTGTTGTTTATAGTATAGGATGTGTTTTTTATCCAACTAGTAATGCATTTACATACGTGGATTAAATTGAACGTGCTTGTCACAAAATTACAAATTTATCCCTCAGGCCCCCATCTCAAATTTAGCCCTCAGGCCCCCATCTCAAATCTGATCACCATCTGCAATTTCGTCTTGTGCTTTTGCAACAAATTCCAACTGAAAGCGAAAAAAAAAAAACATTGTTTTTGCAATTCATTGTTTTTTGGGTTGAAGAGTTTTGAAAAGCTTCAACAGAAAAAAGGGCTACTGGTGTGGATCCCGTAGCCCACATGAGGAGGTCACGAGGGATTATGCAATTAGGGTCTATTAAGACAATGGGGAGACATACTGTTCACGGCCTTTTGGAAGTTCTCCAAATCCCAAATCTCAAATTCGTGTTTCAATTCAATCAATCAAGATGAATCCTTCAAGTACGTTTCTGCTATTCGGTTTGATTCTCAACTATTCGATATGAATGCTATAGACATTGAAATTTAATATTTATTTTATTAATTAGTATCTTTATTTATTTTTGGACATAAATTATAGATAAATAAGATATTTAATTAATAAAATAAATATTTCTTTCCCACTTAGTAGGATAAAATTTTTTTTTAAGATAAATAAAGATATTATATCAAATCATGAAGAACCAATCAAATTGATGTATTTTTTTTTTTTCAAGACTCTCTCTCTTACACCTATAAAGGGCTCTTTTTAAAGCTACAAAACACACATCATAAATCAAAATCTCAATTCAAGAGCTCTCAATAATTCTATTTCTATTGAAGATCCAAGACATTCAAGTTGAAGATCAACGTGCAAGTTCAAATCTCTCTCCAAGAAGGATCAAAGAAAAAATCAACGTTCAAATCCAAGTCTTTTTCCAAGAAGGATCAAATAAGAAAGACCGACAATAGGTCTTCTTCAATCAAATCAAGTCATAACATTTACTACGAGAATAAGTTATTCGACTCAAAAATTAATGTTAGAGAAATTTAAGATAAAACTCGAAAGAGACTCAATCGTCAAATCCATTATTCCAATCTCCAAAAGTTTTATGTTTCTTCATAAAATTCATTGTTAAAGGGACGTTATGACTGCTTTGTTTTCAGGCTATGTCCCATAGTCTCTTATGGTCTCACATCGCACTATATGCTTCTGTCTTTCAATTAATGGTGGTCTGTACCGTCTAATAAATAGTGGCCGAATGTGTACCACTATAAATACTCTTTGTATTTCTCCGAGAAAGAGTATGCAAATCGGACAACAATACATTTTCTTTCATTCAAATTGGTACATGATTCATATTTTCGTGTTGTCCAAATTTGAGGGCAACAAACATCAGAGGATTTACGCAAGGAAGGTTTTCAACATTTTTTCAGGTACTTTGACTATTAAGCTAGGTCGACTCAGAGTCAGGAGGAAGATTATTGACCTCGAACCGGCATATGGAGTCTTAAATCGGAGTTATTAGACGAATTTTGTAATAAACATATTTATAGTTATCTATTATAATTTTACCATTTACATATCATCAAAATTATCCATGGCCCTAATCGCAATGAATGTCTCAAGTTAAGCGCAGGAGCTGAAAGCTTAGCACGTAATTTTCAAATGTCATCCGGCGTCCTTGATAATATTCAAAGTTCAGAAGATAGTCAAAGTTATCTCAAATGGAGCCCTCCCCCTGAAAATTCAGTTCGCCTTGATGTGGACGCAAGTGTCAATATGAAAGAAGGCAGGTTCGGTAAAGGGGGAATCACGCGCGATGATCAAGGTAGAGCTCTTTTTGCCTTTGGAATGCCAGTCAGTAATCCGGGTTCAGTTATTCATTGTGAGCTTTTGACAATCAAAGAAGGGTTGAGTAAATGCCGATCGTTGGACCAATTTCCTCTCTTATTTACACGGACTCTCTGTTGGCGGTACAAGCAGTTACCGACTTCAAAGAGACACACGGCTATATCCGATCGTGGTCTAAAGATATTGATGCTCTTATGGCTCAAGCAGCAGCTTCTAGACGTCTACTTCATATGCGTCGCTCGGTCAATAATGTTGCTCATTCTCTTGCTAAATTTGCTTCTTTTTCAAACTTCCCTTTCGTATGGGAAGTGAATGTTTTTCCGTCTTGGCTTAAGGAACTTATATGTACAGACTTAGGTTCTATTTGATTCTAATGATAAGTTTCTTTCCAGTAAAAAAATAAATAAATAATAATTATGAATTTTACATCACTTTACATTAAAAGTTATTATACCTTCCACTATTTTTATTTCACCAATCAAAAATATTTATTCACCAAAACATATCTAATCACACTTTCAGCTCATGTGTCTTATGGAAAGTACATGTATTGCCTTTTGTTAGGTGACCGTCAAATTCAAACGTACTATTTTTTTTATATACATAATATTATATAAATATATTAATTTTATAAATTATTTTATATTTTTATTATATATTTATTCAAAAATTACAGTAATTTAAAAATATTTATGTTTAAAATGTTATTTTTTTCTTTTCCTTCATCTACTTTATCGCTTTATCAAAGGGTGTTTATGAGACTGAACCATATCGAATTTCAGGCAAATTTTAACCAAAGCTTTTCCATCTCAACCGCTTTCTTCTTCTTCTTCTTCTTCTTCTTCAGTCAAGAAATTTTAACTCCATATATTTATGTGTCAAAAAAATTATCCACAAATACTTGAGTTATATGTCGCACGCAGGGTGTTCGATTAAATGTCGCAAATGGCTCTCTCGTCTTGCCTGAAGTGTCTCCCCTGTACTCCCCCTCACAACCCGGCCCGCTCCTCCATTTTCCATCAGGCCTCAAAGCCCGAAAGAGTAAATTCATCTAATTTCCCACTTATTAGCTCAGAAAATCCACGGGCACTCTCAGCCGCCGTCTCCTCAGGCACTTCAAGCATACAACTTTCCCCGGACTTCAGCCCATGGCAGCTTCTCGAAACCCTCCGTCGTGAAGAGGACGGGACCTCGGCACTGAAACTCTTCAAGTGGGCCTCACGGCAGCCCAATTTCAAGCCCACTCTCGCTATATACCAAGAAATCATCCAGAAGCTCGGGACTGCGGGATCGTTCAAAAACATACGGTGGGTTCTGGAGCATATGAAGCTTTCGGGTGTTGAACTCGATGAAGGTACTTTCTTTATCGTGATCGATAGTTGCGCGAAATTCGAGATGTATGACGAGGCAGTGGGTGTTCTCGATTCGATGCGGGATGAGTTCCAGGTGGAGCCCACGACCCACACGTATAACTTCCTGCTGAATCTTCTCGTTGACGGGAACAAACTCATACTCGTCGAGAACCTGCACTCCAAAATGCTGAGAGAAGGCGTTTTGCCCGACGTCTCGACTTTCAACATACTGATAAAGGGGTTGTGCAAGGCCCACCAGATAAGGCCTGCAATCCTGTTAATGGAGGAGATGCCCAAATACGGGCTGAGCCCGGATGAGAAAACCTTCACTACCATAATGCAGGGTTACATCCAAGAAGGTAACTTTAGTGGAGCTTTGAGGGTTTGGGAGCAAATGGCCGCAGCCAAGTGCCCTTGGACTAATGTGACTGTAAATGTGTTGATAAGTGGATTCTGCAAAGCGGGCCGTGTCGAGGAGGCTCTGGTTTTCGTGCAAGAAATGGTGAAAGAGGGCTTCTGTCCCGATCAGCTCACGTTCAATACTTTAATTAGCGGTCTTTGTAGAATTGGGCACTTGGATCATGGATTGGAGATACTCGACTTGATGCTGCAGGAGGGTTTTGATCCAGACGTGTTCACGTACAACACTGTTGTGTCCGGCCTTTGTAAATCGAGCCGAGTCAAGGAAGCCATGGAAGTGCTTGAGCAGATGCTTTCACGAGGCTGTAAACCAAATACTGTCACTTACAATTCCATAATCAGCACTTTGTGTACGGAGAATCGAGTCCAGGAAGCCACCGAGCTCGCTCGATCTCTCACGGGCCGCGGTATTATTCCTGACGTAACCACTTTCAACTCTCTTATACAGGGCTTGTGCTCGAGCAGCAAGTTCAGCTTGGCCATGGAGTTATTCCAAGAAATGAAAACCAAAGGGTGTAAACCGGACGAGTTCACTTACAACATACTGATCGACTGCCTCTGCACCGAAGGAGAGCTCAGAGAAGCTTTAGAGCTCCTTAAAGACATGGAGTCGAGCGGTTGTTCGAGAAATGTGGTCACTTACAACACGTTGATGAAGGGCTTTTGCAAAATCAAGAAAATCGAAGAGGCTGAAGAAATATTCGACCAGATTGAGCTGCAAGGCCTGTCTAGAAATGTTTTCACGTACAACATTCTTATCGATGGTCTGTGTAAATCGAAGAGGGTCCAAGATGCAGCTCAGCTTATGGACCAGATGATAATGGAGGGACTGAAGCCAGATAAGTTCACCTTTAACTCCATTCTTTCTTATTTCTGCAAAGTTGGAGATATTAAAAAAGCGGCCGATATCGTCCAAATGATGACATCATCCGGGTGTGAACCGGATGTCTTTACGTACGCGACTTTGATTCAGGGGCTGTGTAAAACGGGAAGAACAGAGGTTTCCATACGACTCTTGAGGAGTTTACAAATGAAAGGAATGGATTTGAACCCGCACGCTTATAATCCTGTGATACAAGCGCTTTTTAAGAGGAGAAAAGTTAAAGAGGCTGTGAGGCTTTTTAGGGAGATGGAGGGAAAAGGAGTCTCTCCTGATGGTTTTTCGTATAGGACTGTTTTTCGTGGGCTTTGTTCTGGTGGTGGTCCGATAGGCGAGGCTGTGGATTTCGCGCTTGAGATGACGGAAAAAGGGTATCTTCCGGAATATTCCTCATTCGTTATGCTGGCTGAAGGCCTCTGTGCTTTGAAGATGGAGAAGACTTTGGTGAAGCTTGTGGATAAGGTTATGGTGAAGGCGGAGTTTTCGGATAGGGAGGTGGCTATGGTTATGGGTTTTTTTAGGATTGGTAACTTTACCGATGGGTTGGCTGCGTTTGGCCGGATTTTGGATAGCCGGAGCCCTAGGAAAGGTTATTGGTGATCATGAAAATTGGTTTGTGGAGTTCATGTAAACCAGTTGATTTGTGTGTACTTGTATCTTAAGTTGTAGAATTTTTTAAGTCTTGGAAGAACTTGTATGTTTTCCGGTAAAGTTGTAGAAATTTTGACTTCTGCAGAATTCATGACTCACATGGTTCATTAGCAAAATGATACATATAAAACATTTTTCCTTCACATTTGGATCATGTTGACAAAAAGTGCAAACAAAAACTAAATACCTCAAAATTTAAACAAATTAGTAGACTGAAAAAAAAAATAGTGAGAAAGATTACATGACCAAATAAATAAATAAACCGAATTTGGCCATCTTGCAATTCAACCACTAGAAGAAAAAAATCCGCGATTATTTAGGATAAACTAGTGAGCCAAAACTTGAACGAGCGAATGATTATGTCAATTTATACTTTTTTACTAATTTGTTAAAAAAAAATCTATTTTTTTTTTTCTTGTGGTTAGATCTTGGGATGTCCAATTTTAATTTCTTAATTCGCTGGATCATTAAGAAATTACCGTTGTTATAATTGGATATGTTTTTGGTTTACTAGTTTGTTTCATGTTTTGGGTTCTCAATTTTATATGCATTTTTTGTCGAGTGCAAATTATGATTTGAAAAAGGTAGTTGTTGTTACGTCACTTTTGAGCCACGAACGATCTTCTTTCTTGAGCTCTGATGACATGCAATACTCCAATCAAACTCTTCGACGCTCAAGTCAGAACTCGCTCAAGTCAAACTCTTGAATTCTTCAAGGCACCTAAATAGCCGCTATTCCAATATCTTCGCAGCTGCCAGCTGAGGTGACTATCACCGAAGGCGTCTTCTGACTTAGTCCACCTCATCTTAGGAGCTTTAAACATTCTTGACAGCTTCCTTGATCTTAGGAGCTTCAACTTCTTAGAGCTGGGAACTTCTTCACCAAGCCCCCTGAAGTTTTTCACGTCTTCTTCGCACACCAGGTATATGACAGTCTGTCTTTTTCCCTAAAATCCAATCTCTTAGAGTTATCTCGGCTCTACAAAGTCCCTCTTAATCATTTCGCCATTCGCTTCACGGTGGGCTTTTCCATTAATAGCCGCTGCATATCCATTAATAGCCGCTGCATACTTCACTCGTTTGATTCAGACTTAATGCTGAGTGCTATATTTGACCTAGTGGAATGTGACAAACAAATGTTGTCAGTAAACACTTTTTTTTATGCTTGCATAAATAGTTCTAATTTGGATGAAAAAAGCATCCGCTCACAAATACAAATGAACTATAACAATAAATCATACGAATGAACTATAAGAATAAATAATTCTTCTTGAGCTGTAAAAAAAAACTTGCGATCAGAAACAAAAACGATAATTTGATGGATTTTTTTTTTCTTGGAATCATAAGATAAATTTGCAAACAACATCACTTACACGAGCAGTCCATTGAAAACCAAAAAAGAGCAGCGGTATATATAAAGTATGAAATAGATACCCAGCTCCAGAATATATGAAGTACTTGGTGACTAGAGTCATCGGCTGCCCATCAAACTAGAGAAACTAGTGCTCTTGGACGGTTTCCTCAAAGTTGCTCAGTAATTATGCATAAAGTCCTCGTAGTTTTGTGCGGGCTAACCGACTTTTTCGACAATTACCTGCTTTTGCTTTCCTCTATCTTGAAGACAATGAACCTGTAAGTCCTCTTTGAATTCAGTTCCAAGAACTTCAGCTTGCAGTCATCATGCACAGCCATCCCAGATGCCGCATTTGCCTTTACAAATAATAGTGGAAAAAGCAAACAAATTGCAGAAAATTGGTGATATAATAATCAGGGACTCAACCCAGGAGAAAATAAGACAGATAACGAATAATAAGGGATATAGCCAGAAATAGCCTGCTATCACTAGATCAAATAGAGAGCCAGAAAACTGAACCAAAATGAAACGAACATGCCCAAAACAAAAAATGAAAAACAACATATAAAAAAATTAACAATTCATCCCAAAAACAACTGAAGAACTAACACAGTAACAACGTATCTCAATCGACTGTTCCTCAATAACCACCAAAATCCAAGACGAAGGCAAATAAAAATCATCAAGATTTTTTGATGAGGTAAAAAATTTAACATATAAGGTCATGGTGTAACATGCAATTTTGCCGAAAAGGAAATCATATAAGAAGTTCCAAGACTTTAAAAAATTTCTACAACTTAACAAACAAGTACACACAAATCAACTAGTTTACATGAACTCTAGAAACCAATTTTCACGATCAACAATAACCTTTTCTAGTTCTCCGGCTATCCAAAATCCGGCCAAAAGCAGCCAACCCGTCGGCGAAGTTACCAATTCTAAGAAAACCCATAACCATAGCCACCTCCCTATCCGAAAAATCCGCCTTCACCATAACCTTATCCACAAGATTCACCAAAGTCTCCACCATGTTCAAAGCATTGAGGCCATCAGCCAGCATAACGAACAAGGAATATTCCGGAAGATACCCTTTCTCCATCATCTCAAGTGCGAAATCTACAGCCTCGCCTATCGGACCACCACCAGAACAAAGCCCATGAAACACAGTCTTATACGAAAAAGCATCAGGAGAGACTCCTTTTCCCTCCATCTCCCTAAAAAGCCGCACTGCCTCTTTAACTTTTTTCCCAATAAAAAGCGCTTGTATCACAGGATTATATGCGTGCGGGTTCAAAACCATTCCTTTCATCTGTAAACTCCTCAAGAGTCGTAAGGCAACCTCTGCTCTTCCTGTTCTACAGAGCCCCTTAATCAAAGTCCCATACGTAACGACATCCGGTTCACACCCGGATGAGGTCATTATTTGGACAATATCGGCCGCTTTCTTAATATCGCCAGCTTTGCAGAAATAAGAAAGGATGGAGTTAAAGGTGATTATATCGGGCTTAAGTCCCTCCCTTATCATCTGGTCCATAAGCCGAGCTGCATCATGAACCCTCTTTGATTTACAGAGACCATCAATAAGGATGTTGTATGTGAACAGATCTCTAGACAGGCCTTGCAACTCAATCTGGTCGAACATTTCCTCGGCCTTTTCAATTTTCTTGATTTTGCAAAAGCCCTTCATCAACATGCTGTAAGTGACCACATCTCTCGAACACCCGCTCGACTCCATGTCTTTAATGATCTCTAAAGCTTCTTCGAGCTTGCCTTCGGTGCAGAGGCGGTCGATTAGTATGTTGTAAGTTGAGACGTCCGGTTTGCACCCTTTGGTCTTCAATTCTTGGAATAACTCCATGGCCATGCTGAACTTGCTGCTCGAGCACAGGCGCCGTATAAGAGATTTGAAAGTGGCCACGTCTGGAATAATATCGCGGCCCATAAGGGCTCGAGCGAGCTCGGTGGCTTCCTGGACTCGATTCTCCGTACACAAAGTGCTGATTATGGAATTGTAAGTGACGGTATTCGGTTCACAGCCTCGTGAAAGCATCTGATCGAGTACCTCCATGGCTTCCTTGACTCGGCTTGATTTACAAAGGCCGGACACAACAGTGTTGTACGTGAACACGTCTGGATCAAAACCCTCCTGCAGCATTAAGTCGAGTATCTCCAACCCATGATCCAAGTGCCCGATTCTACTAAGACCGCTAATTAGAGTATTGAACGTGAGCTGATCGGGACAGAAGCCCTCTTTCACCATTTCTTGCACGAAAACCAGAGCCTCCTCGACCCGGCCCACTTTGCAGAATCCACTTATCAACACATTTACCGTCACATTAGACCAAGGACACTTGGCCGTGACCATCTGATCCCAAACCCTCAAAGCTCCACCAAAGTTACCTTCTTGAATATAGCCCTGCATTATGGTCGTGAAGGTTTTCTCATCCGGGCTCAGCCCGTATTTGGGCATCTCCTCCATTAACAGAATTGCAGGCCTTATCTGGTGGGCCTTGCACAACCCCTTTATCAGTATATTGAAAGTCGAGACGTCAGGCAACACGCCTTCTCTCAGCATTTTGGAGTGCACATTCTCGACGAGTATGAGTTTGTTCCCATCAACGAGAAGATTCAGCAGGAAGTTATACGTGTGGGTCGTGGGCTGCACCTGAAACTCATCCCGCATCAAATCGAGAACATCCAATGCCATGTCGTACATCTCGAATTTCGCGCAACTATCGATCACGATAAAGAAAGTACCTTCATCGAGCTCAACACCTAAACGCTTCACATCGTCCAGAACCCACTGTATGTCGTTGAACGATCCATCATTCCCGAGCTTCTGGATGATTTCTTGGTATATAGGAAGAGTGGGATTGAAATCGGGATGCCGTGAGGCCCACTTGAAGAGTTTCAGTGCCGAGGTCCCGTCCTCTTCACGACGGAGGGTTTCCAGAAGCTGCCATGGGCTGAAGTCCGGGGAAAGTTGTATGCTTGAAGTGCCTGAGGAGACGGCAGATGAGAGTGGCCGTGGATTTTCTGAGCTAATACGTGGGAAATTAGATGAATTTACTCTTTCGGGATTTGAGGCCTGATGGAAAATGGAGGAGCGGGCCGGGTTGTGAGGGGGAGTACAGGGGAGGCACTTCAGGCAAGGCGAGAGAGCCATTTGCGACATTTAATCGAACATCTTGCGTGCGAGATATAACTCAAATAAATATATGGAGTTAGACTCGGAGATAAAGCTGAAATTTTATGGCGTTAAACTCACAAGTCGCAATAAAAATGGCAATTTCGATGGATAAAGTTGAAGAAGAAGAAGAAGAAGAAGGCGGTTGAGTTGGAAAAGCTTTGGTTAAAATTTGCCTGAAATTCGATATGGTTGTCTCATAATTCATCAACACCCCTTGATAAAGCGATAAAGTAGATGAAGGAAAGAAAAAATAACATTTTAAATAAATATTTTTAATTTAGTGTAATTTTTAATAAGGATATAAAAAACATAAAATATTTTATATNACGAGCGTGCGACTTGCACGCTCGAAATTTGAGGGTAAAATCACCAATTGAAGTGTGTGACTGTCGGTCTCCCAACCGATTGAATTTATGCAAAAATAATTTTCAAATTCAACACTAAAAATCTTGGGTTCTTGCCCTCTGCAACATTCAATCTCGACATCTAATCTCAAACTATCCTTCGATTTAAACATAAAAATTGTAAATCAAACTTAATCGCGATCTTGATGGGCTAGAAGGTACGTGACAATGATGAGAATCTTCCACCCAGAAGACTGTGCCCCGATTACGGTTTGTTGTTCGAACCCTAACTTTTTTTTTTTTTTGTTTTTTCTTGTCGAATTTGACGGAATCTTTTTATATTGTTAGTATGTTTTTGTGATTATGCATTCTCTTTTCCCATGTGGAGACAAACTTTTTGAATTTACCGACAGTCAATGAGTTCAAACATGAAAATGTGAATTTTGTCGGAAATGTGATCTCTTTTTTGAAAAGGATATATTAGTTTATTATTTCATTCAATTTTTTTTTTTAAGTTGATAATTGGGACCAAGATATTGATTTGTGTAATATTCATGTCCCCTTCAGGTTCCAGTTCACAATTGTTTACCATTTTATTTCATTATGTTGGGCAATTTCTGGAACTCGGTTACACTAGTTACACTGGTGAGCATATAAGGGTAAGTCACATTGACTATTGTAACCCTGATGAACTCTCATTGATTGAGATATTCTGTATGACTTCTAAAATTGGGATAAAAGATGTAAAGTGTGTGCATTGTAGTAGAAATAGTGTAAATGATTGTCGGTCTGTGTTTGTCTTGCAAAATGACATGGATGCTATAAATTTGTTAATTGGGTTGATAGTAATAGAATAGTTGGTTTATATGTTGAACATATGGAAAACATGGGCACAGGGATAGCTAAACCTTCTAATGGTTTGTCTACTGTTGATGAATCCTTACCTTTTTGTGGGGGATGGTGGAGAGGATTTAGATGATATAATTGACAATTGGATGGGGGAAAAGAATCTTGATTATTTGGAAGTCCCCATGAGCTCAATTTGAGCTATGGACTATTATCAAGAATCCCACCTTATCATTGAGCTGATATGATGGGCATACAAAATAATTTGCTAACTCAACTATTCCAACTTTATTTTTCAAAATATTCCCATAGAAATATTGAAATATTTATATGATGGCTCAAACTCTTTATTCACAAAATATTTGTATTATGTAAGATATTTCAATTTTAAATAACGTGATCGAGGCATTAGCAGATTGTTATAGATAACGATAATGGGGAAATTTATAAAATCTCAACCAACATTTAGTTTTAAGATTGTTGGTAACAAGCTGCCTGTAAATATATTTGACCTAGTGGAATGTGGCAAACAATTGTTAACAGGAAACACTTTTAACTTTTTTATCATGCTTGCAAAAATAGTTCTAATTTGATGAAAAAGCATCCGCTCACAAATACCAGTGAACTATAACAAAAAATCAAATGAACTATAAGAACAAATATTTCTTCTTCTTGAGCTGTAAAAAAAATGTGCAATCAGAAGCAGAACCGATAATCTGATGGAATTTTATTTTATTTTTTTTCTGAAATAATAAGATAAATTTGCAAACAACATCACTTAACACGAACAATTCCATTGAGAACCAAAGAAGAGCAGCAGTATATATAAAGTATAAAATACATACCCAGCTCCAGAATATGTGAAGTACTTGGTGACTATAGTCATCACTGCCCATCAAACTATAGAAACTAGTGGTTTTGAACAGTTAACCCAAAGTTGCTTAATTTGCACGGCTCTTGATAACGTCGAGCCCCATTTCAGAAGGATCGGTCGCCTGTAATTCCACTTGAATCCCATCGAGCTCCCTTTTGAACCTGTCCTTTGAGCTCGCATAAATCATCTTGCTTCTCACACGTGATGTGTCGGGAGACCTTACAATAATAAAACCAACAAAAGATACAGAATTAAAGAACCAGCCAATTGAAAGTCCAAAATCAGCAAAATGACATGAATCCACAATAATTATGCATAAATTTGTCGAATTTATACCAAGCAATGAAGAAAATCCTGCTTCTCTGGCAATTCTCGGAGGTCACAAAGTCAAAGTCGTAAACGGCATATCGGCATTCATCGGCAGGAAGAGAGGCGGTGAAGTCCTCGTAGTTTTGTGCGGGCTCGCCGACTTTTTCGACAATTACCTGCTTTTGCTTTTCCTCTATCTTGAAGACAATGAACCTGTAAGTCCTCTTTGACTTCAGTTCCAAGAACTTCAGCTTGCAGTCATCGTGCACAGCCATCCCAGATGCCGCATTTGCCTTTATAAATAATAGTTTACAGGCATGAGTGTAAAACTATTATAACAAATTATGAAAAAGCAAACAAATTGCAGAAAATTGGTGATCTGATAATCAAGAACTCAACCCAGAAGAAAATAATACCAAGAAAAAAAAAAAAAGTGAATATACCCGGAGATAGCCTGCTGTCACTAGATCATATAGAGAGCTTAGAGAACTGAACCAAAGATAAGTGAACAAGCCCAAGATAAAAATGAAAGACGATATATCAACAATTGAACAAATTGTCCCAAAAAAACAAATAAAAAACTAAAAATATAGCAATATATATGAATCAATTGTTCCTCAGTAACAGCCGAAATCCAAGTCTCGTGGCAAGGCCAAGCAATCACCCGAAGACAAAATAAACAGATGAAAGGTAGATGTTTATAGGCTGACACGTACATGAATCTCATATTTGTGATATAATAATCAGAAACTCAACCCAGGAGAAAATAATACAGATAACGAATAATAAGGGATATGGCCAGAAATAGCCTGCTATCACTAGATCAAATAGAGAGCCAGAAAACTGAACCAAAATTAAATGAACACGCCCAAAACGAAAAATGTAAGGCAATATGTAAACAATTTCAACAATTCATCCCGAAAAACAACTGAAGAATTAAAACAATAACAACATATCTCAATCTACTGTTCCTCAATAACAACCAAATCCAAGACGAAGACAAATGAAAATCATAAAGATTTTTCATAATGCAGTCAAACAATCACCCAGATACAAAGTACACAGATGAAAGCTAGAAGTTGTTAGCCGATCACATACACGAATCTGACTGTTAACAAGCAAACTCGAGTAGAATGGTGATTTAATAATCAGGAACTCAACCCCTAAGAAAATAATACATAAAAAAAATGAATAATCAGGGAATGTAGCTGGAAATAGCCTGCTGACTCACTAGATCAAATAGAGACTGGAGAGCCAGAAAACTGAACTTAAATTAAATGATCACACCCAAAACGGAAAATGAAGAACAAACATAAAAAAATTGAACAATTTATCCCGAAAACAAATAAAAACTAAAACCAAAGACACACATTTCAATCACTGTTCCTCAATAACAGCCAAAATCCGAGAAGATGACAAGTAATAATCATCCAGATTTTTCATAATGCATTCAAGCAATCACCTAAATACANCAGATGGAAGCTACGAGTTAACAGGCGATCACACACACGAACCTCACGCAGTTAGCAAGCAAACTGGAGATGATCAATCACGCACCCTCATCATCATGACTCGGTAAACAGAGAGAAATGTAAGATCAGTTTAACATCATCAAATCCGAGTTAATAGGTCGGTTCTTACTCTCTCAATAACCTCAATTCATCTACAAACATGAATTTTTCACCAAAACCTCACACGTTCAATCAAAACTGAGCCAGCGGAAGCTAAATTAAACTGAGGGTAAAACAAAATCAGCTCATAAATCATAATTACCCAAATGAGTCACATTACAGTTACAGATATTAGATCAACTGCTTAAACATGAAATAAACGAGAAAATTTCACAAGGTCTTACCATGATTGACACCTCCGTGAAGAGATTCCGGTGATTATCGAAGGATTTTGAGAAAAAATAGAATTTGATAGAGAGAGTGAGAGGATAAAGGCTATGAAGAAGGTTTCGGCTCTTTATTGAGTAGACAATTACGAGACGCCGCGTAAAAGTTTTTCATTTTTCTTTTTTCAACCTATGAGGATATTTTTGTAGAGATGGTGGGTCAAAGGTAAATTTATGGTACTGTTGTTTTTCAGTTTTTACGGTCAGTCAAAGTTGCTGTTCAAAATTGTTTAGTACAGTCAACCCTATCAGTCTAGCATTGGCATTTCTAGCTAACCAATACACATTTTACTGTGCACATTGCATTAATTTACTGTACACATTTTTATTGCAAAAAAATTGAGACATTTTCTTGCTTTTCCAAGGTTCTTTGAAAAATCTTACAAATTACATAGCTTCATACCAAAATATTTCGCTTTTTCAATTCTCTTTAAAAAAACAACATATTGTTATTAGCAAAAAATATAAAATGAAATACAACCAATAATTGAGTGTGTGAAAGTCCCTTTGTCACTTTTTGCTGCGTCCACTCGACGCTACTACCTGATGACGACACTTAAAATTGTTTGATCAAATGACATTTTCAAAATTTGTTTAGTTGGCACCTGGCAAATTAATAGCCTAATATGTATACTCCAAATTCTAAAGGGAGATTTTCACCTATACTATACGTTTTTTAAATATTTGCACCTTTACTTTTCTTACCAATTAAATTGTGTTTATACCTAAAAAACAAAAAGTAATTAAAGTGATGCATAAAATCAGTTACACAATATGGAACAAACTTACCATATTTCTAGCCCTTAATTTTAGCTCTCAAGAAGCGGAAATTTCTGAGGATCGTGTGAAAAAAACTGCTACATACTTTCCATGTTGAGGGGCGGTGTACGGATGGGAGAAAATAAAGAAACACACGCCGGCGAGACAAATTTCCGACGGTATTCATCCAGATAAAACAAAAAAAAAAAAAAATAATAAACTAGGGGATTTGTCGATCCATCGCCTTCGCTCTTCAATAACAGGAAAAATCTAGTGTAGATCAGAATCTGTGGCGAGCTCTCATCACTCCGAACAGCACTGAAGAACCGAAACATAAAGGCCAAATATTGAGAGGTATGTTTTGTGTTATTAACATTTATACCGTCTTGGTATATTTTGGTTATTTCGTACTGATGTCTCCTCGTTTTTTTTGTTTTTTTGTTTTTTTTTTTTTATTTTCACCAGATGGATCCGAATATGATGATCTTCATACATCATGGGGGTGAATGGGTGATGAATGATTACGTGAATTACCAACTATCTGGTGTTTTGATTCGAAAAGAAGGGAGCTTCTATGTGCTTGATCGATCTGTGCTTGATCTAAAATATAAGCTAAAGGAAGGTAGTCCACTAATGTCGATAAACAGCGATAGCAGCCTTAGCTTCTATCTGCTCGTGAAAAACGACTGTATAACTTAGGTATATTTGAGGTATATCTTAGGTACATTTATGTATATGTGGGTTCTGCCCGTGAGAAACGATCTGCTCGTGCAAATATCTCGAGTGTAGATCTTAGGTATATTTTATGTATATGTGGGTTTTGAAATCGATTTCGAGAAAAGATTAAAACTCGATTGTATATTTAAAGTATATTTTATGCATATCTCGAGTGTAGATCTTAGTGCAGCATAAGTATATTTTTAGTTTATGTTCAGTATATTTTATCGTTATGTTTAGTTTATACCACAACACAACATAAACGATAGAGGCGCGATCGATCTTTTTCTTAAGAAAAGTTATGCAAACATACCACAAAAATAAAATGACTGGTCAATTAAAATCAAGGTATATTTTTTCCATATCAATTTATTTCTTTATGCTTTTTTTTAATTGATCTTAACGTTCAATGAAACATACATGAATTTATTATCTTTCTTACGCAAAATATACCAAACATTACTCAAAATATACAGGACATATATCGATCATTACTAAAAAATATATCAAACATTACTCAAAAATATGCACAACATATTTTTACTCAAAATATACCAAACATTACTCAAAATATACCAACAGAATTGGGGACATATACTGAACATATACTGAACATATATTGAAAATAGTTCCAGGCGTCGAAATTAATCCACATTACTCAAGCCTCAAAATTTTTATTCATCTTCATCTGCGCGGAAAAACTCCAAATTAAATCCACATCACTCAAGCCTTAATTGAACTCTCGCATAAAAAAAATAAATCAGAATTAACATGAACCCGTCGAAAAGAGGAAAAAGAAAAAAGGCCGCTACTCTTTCGGGTTCCCCTCACACATACGGGCTGCTCGAAAAGAAAACCGGTGAGGGGCCGACGAGGGCCGAAAGTGCCGCTGCTCCTGTTCGGACGGTCGTTCGAGGTGCTGGCTCGACTAATGGCTGGGGTCCGTTGAAAAGGAACCGACCGCTGCTGTTCGGCCATTAAACGAAGGCCGACGGGGAGTGCTGCTGCTGAATGGGGTCTCGATGATGGTTTTTTCGGCTTCCGGCAACCGGATCGAGTAGAGAGAGGGACTTTTTGTCTTCGCCATTGAAGTTGTAAAGGGAAACCGATGAGATGAGATATTTTTGCGGTGAATGTGGGGCGGTGGGTGCTTTTTTGTTGGAGAGATATTATCTTCACCGTAAAATCAGCAACTTCCTTAATTATCCCAATTAATTTGAACGGTTACCCTTAGGTATATCTGCAATATTTTAGGTTGATTTTAGTACAATTATAAATATTTCCCTAATAGGTGTATAATTATAATATATTTGGAATCTTGAAGTAGAGGGTGCAAATTCCTCAATTCTAAATATTAATTGCAATTGACACCGGACCAAATCAACAAGAGAATGTTGTCTTAATTCCGTAAATATATCCAAAATGAACATATATATATATATATATATCTTCGAACTTGTCAAAGAGATGTTATTGCTAAAACAATAAATAATATCTAAGAAAAATAAAGTAAATATTGATACTTTTGGTAATTTCCTTAGGTTAGGTTCTGTCAAATGGATCAAATCATAACAATCGATGGTCAATTCAATAAATGGGCTCTACGTAGAGTAGCACAATGGGCCTCACAACTCTGAACCACTGTAGTAGATTAACATTTACATCTCTAAATTTAATCGGTATATATCGAGAAAATTATATCATCTATCTTCAAATCTTAATAAATTTTACATTAATTAAGTTTTTATTTTAATTACAAATAAACTCACTTTTATATGTATGGTTGATTTTTATTTATTTTTGTTATTGATTTTTACATTATATTATTTTTTTGTTTATGTCAATGTATAAATAGTTTAGATATTGTTTTGTTATGAAGAAAAACTGTTGTTTTGCAATAAATTCAATAGTATTATATATATCAGGCGAGTTCGAGTTATGAAGAAAACACGGGACCTATATTTATAGGTTATCATTTTCGTGTTATCTAAATAAAAAATCCCTTTAAAGATGAGAAGAAGCTAGCATATCTCAAAATAGATGATTGATTAAGTAACCTTATTAAGGTAGGATTTTGTACATTGATTAGATAGAAATATTTCGTTATTATCTCATACTTAAATATTATAGCTCTTGATCTTATCTATTTTAGCCTAAAATCACCTCCTTAACTCAGCTCTTATCCAACTCTTGTTCTCACATCTACTATAGTAGCTCTAGACCATACATGGAGCTCTAATTCACACCTCGACTTCAGTTCATAACCCTAGCTCTAACTCACACGTGTTCTAGCTCTAGCTTGCACCTTGAGCTGTAACTCTAGCTCACACGAGCTCTACTTGTAGCATACATCTCAAGCTCTAGCTCTAACTCACATCTCTAGCTATAGCTCTACCATACACCTCAAGCTCTAGCTTTATCTCAATCATCGAGCTTTAGCTCTAACTCGCACCTCGAGCTCTAGTTCTAGCCACTCGTTCAACTTAAGCTCACAATTTTAGGGCGTGTTTGTATATAAATTTATCCACTCAAAATGAGTTTTTTTAGCTAGTTAGAGTTAATTTTGAAAAAAGTGATATGGTTAGTTGTTAATGGAATTTTGATTGTATATTAACATAATATTTAAAATAATATAATTATAGCTTGTTTGATGTAAAAGTATGAGAGAAATGATGTGAAGTGATAGTCAGTTAAAACTATGTGAGCTGATGAATGTATGACTTATTTTAAATGTCGTGTTTTTACATAAGTTTTCAAAAAATGTAGCAAACGTGTAAAATTGCCTTGTATATTAGCATGAGTTGTTGATTATGAATTTATGGTTGGTCTTGTATTAGGCCGACTTAACATTAGGACGGCATACATTTTTAACATATATGCATACTTTTATTACAAGTTGTCATATTAACAAAAAAAAAACATGAATATAAGTATAATATTTGATATTATAAGCATGAATTTTTTAAGTAAGCCATGTTGATCTGAATAGGTTGTCTCACACGAAAAATTTGTGAATTTGAAATATTAGTTTTTATTTGGTATTTTTTATGCATTTGTGAATGATTTTTTATTTTTTTTCGTAATTAGACGAATTCTCTTCAAATTATGGCATGTGGTAAAATATAAATTATAAAATGACTAATTACACTGTTTGTTTTATTATTAATTCCATCTCATATTCCATGATTGTGATCGTTCAAAATTACTTTTACACAATATTATTTTCGTTTGAATATTAAAAGCGCGATTGGGGGGGGGGACTCCTAGATCATAGGTGAAGATTGGAACGATATCTGCAATAGCGAAGAGAAAAATGGAGGCAGAGATAGAGCTGAGAATAGCTTTTGGGGTTTCAGGAATTTTATTGCTCAGATGAATATGCTAGAAGTTCCTATGTCAGGCCATCAATATACTTGGGGAAATAACAGAATGGGCTCATGTTTTATTGAAGCAAAACTGGACAGATTCTTCACTTCCTTTGGATGGCTGTCCCTTCACCCTTTAACCTCCTCTACAAGCATATGTCGAAGCTTATCAGACCACCATCTCATTCTGCTCTCAGAAGGGATTCAAGAAACCATAACTCAAGCTTGGAACACTCATCACTCTGGAACACCCATGTACCAAGTCC